CTCCTTGCTATTTATAGAAATTGAGAGAGTTATAAATTGATAAGGTCGGATTTAGATATATTTTTAACGTATGGCTATATAAATTGTCAAAAAAAGTTAGTAATATGTTCACATATTTAGTATAAAATAAAAAAATATGTATTTTATTAGTATTAATTCTTGATTTTTTACTATTTTCCCAAAATTTTTGGACAGTTCCTGCACTTTCTTTATTCATATCTCTCTCACTGTCACTCTCTCGCTTTCTGAATTCAGACATGCCCTATATGTCATATCTTATTTCATAAAAAAAAACATAAATATGTTAAAAATATACATATATGTATATAAATTTGAACTATTACTCATTAATACGAAAAAACAACTTATTAAAGTTGTTAATTGTCAACAAACAATGACAAAGTGACGAGATAGTTTTAAACAGTGCTTTCTAAACGTTGGTCCCTGGACCACAGGTGATCCACAAGATGAATAAAAATGGTTCGTGAATCAAATTTAATAGGTATGGATACATAATTTGTAGTTTGTTTACTGAGACCTCACTTGTTATAAATAAACGCAAAAAATTTCTAAGTAATTAGTATATACCTATTTTATAGTCTATATAATGTACCTAAGCACTAATAGAATTCATTAAACATTATAACATACCAGAGGTTATTAAAACATATTAAAATAATCATACATGAACTTTATGGTCCTTACTAAAAACAAAAATATCATAATGGTACTTGGTTAAAAAAAGGTTAAGAACCACTGGAAAAGGTTAACACTGACTAAAAGCATCTCAGACCTACGACTATTTTTCTATTATATTAAAAACTATAAAAGATTATTATCATATACAATTATATACAATTAAAAGTGTTTGATGCGGTACCCGTGGATGGAAAATGTAGTAGAGGACGTCTATCTCTTCGGTGACTGGACCCGATGACCAACCCGAAGGTACCTAGTACTACCAACAGGCAACAGGAAGCTACTGGTTAAACTGACTGAAGGAGACTGCTACATACGATCAAAGACGAATCGCGTCTGTAATATCCAACTAAGGAACTAAGTAAGTATATCCATATTTATTCATAATAATCTGAAGAGTATTAACACTATTCAATAGAAATAGATAAATGCCCTACTTAATCTTAAATCAATATTTAATTGAATGTGAAGAAAATTTAAGTTGAAATTTCTATTCTATTACCAATTGAGGATTTCATAATAATCAATTGTAAACTGTTCAACTGATTGGGCAGTGTGTCGCACATAGCCCCCAGGTCTTTAGCAACTAATGTTGTTGAAAAAATCTCTAGTTATCTAACGTATATTTTTGAAACTACAATATACCTTGATGACTTGGTTATAATTCCAAACTCGATCTTAAATACAGCTGCAATAAACTCTACTCTCAGTAGGATAACCTATAACCGTTTGAAAATATTTGAAAATAAATAATGTTATTGAACATTTGGTTTTCGAGAAATGCCGAATTAGGCGGAATTGGTAACTACATAGAGCACTCTTTTTGAAAAAATCGATTAAGGATGTTGAAAATAAACTCAAATCGTCACCAAGGAAAACCAATCAGAAAAAAAATTATAATCCAGTCATATCTTGCAAATTAGTTATCAAACTGTAAAATGTTACGTGATTTATCTCAGTGTACACTATACCATATATATAAAAGCAAGAGTGAATTAACTGACAGAAAAGAAACAGAACTCTAAACATTTTTTTAGTAGGTTAAAGAATTAAACTCAAGAGCTTAACATATTCTGCATTATTTCTTTTGATGATAATTATTTTTATCATTTTATTTTATTTTTATAAGACTGCACGTTTATATTGTTGATATCATAAAATGATCAGTATTTAAAGACACGTTTCGTAAGAAGTTGAAACTAACATATATAGAAAGTCACGTCTTGCCATAAGAAATTTAAGAAATAAAATTAAATTCAGGTACTAAACTTGAATGAAATCAAATTCAGATCTACAAAAATGTTACATTGAAATTTTTATAAAATTTTATTAAAATGACAAAATTAATATTAGGGGAAATCATTAATCAAGGTGAGTTTTGTTATTCCAAAGTTAGGAAGGAAACGAAATAAACACAAACCATGTTTAATGTGCTCTCCTGATGAGAAGAGAAGAATATAACTGCTATACAAACAGTCTTCTCTTTTGAAAAATAGAGTATTCTCGCAAGATTGGATTCCGAAAATACTCTTTCCATTAGGGATTGGAACTATCCATCAGTCTACCTGAACATTGTAGCGTTTATCAAATAGAAGTTTTAACAATCAAAAAAATAACTGTTTACTTAACTACATAAGCGATAAACAAAATCATGCAAAACATATTTTCGATTATGTATGAATACCCAGACTGCCATCAAAAGAATGCACTTGATATTAGTATGATCAAGTATTACTTAGTGATCAAGTGACAGCTCGAAATGACATCAGCACTACTTTTAGGCAGCGTTTTAGGTACTAGAGCACAAGAAAATTTAAAAAAACTATAAGGCCAAATTGGCCAGATGGTATACTGATATTTTACTAAGTTTATACAGAAGCGATATTGCAATATTTATGACCAACTATAAACTATTATTGAAGAATAGTATCATTAAAAACACTACCAGATTCTAGACAGACTGGAATACTTCTAGGCAATCTAGGCAATTGTGACTGATATTTGAAAAAAAAATGAAGGAAATCACTCAGCTTTGCAGTCAGAAGGAAACTTTTGAGGTTATAACCTGAGTAACTAGTCACAATATTATACTAATGTATAGTATAAACTGTAGAGAACCCTTATTCTGCAGCTACTTAGCTTTAGCTATATGTAAGGCTAGCTTTTTAAGGTATATCTAAACCATACAGTTGCGAACGAACGAATATTTGCAGGTATTATGTTCATTAAAGTTTAATTTGATATATAAATTATTTTAATTTAATTTAATTTGATTTAATTTAATTTAACATAATTTAATGTAACTAATTTAAATTTGATTTACTTAAATATATTTTAATTTAGTAAATAACATACAAGTGTTGACTTTTTTTTAAAAATATTAATATAGATAATAGATTAATATAGATATAGATAGATTAGAATTTAAATATTTTATATACTTAAATATATTTAATATAATGAAGCATATAAAATCATATACATACAACAATAATTAAAAATATGACATATAAAATATATTTAAAATTGTTCAAATTTAAATTATTATTAATTATATATCATATATGTTTTTTATTTATTTTTAATCGGGCAAATATATATATAATATATATGATATGTATATATATTTAGCCCATTCAAAAATATATAAAAAAAATTTACTCATAAATAAATAATTTTAATATTTTTAATAAATTAATAAATTATTAATAAATAATTTTATTTAATTTAGTAATTTAATTGATAAATAATAAAATTTTTTTTTTATTACATTAAAATATATTTAGGATATAAAATATCTTATATATTGATTTATAATATCATGGTTTATGGTTCATGGTTAGGCTAAGGCCTTTATGAATTACGACAAGTTTGATCTATTGTGCATTATATCATACTGATTTTGTTAAATTTATTAAGCGTAATAATTAATGTAATTAAATTTAATTATTTGAATTAATTATTTTAATTAAATTAATTGATTTAATTTAATTTGGTTGAATTTTTGAAAATATTAATATATATTACTTTATATTTAGAATTTTTTTTGTTATAATGATATACACACTATGTCATTCTAAGATTTATTAAATTTATTAAGGGTAATAATTAATTTAATAAACTTTAATGCAATAAATAAATAATACTGAAATGTATGTATGTGCGTGTGTATGAAAAGATAATACGTCATGTTGTTAACTTTTGATGTGTAAATTAAATTCAATGTATGTAAATACCCGTATTTACAAACATATATACATACATGTTAACATACATATGTATATATGCATACATATGTTTACTTGTGTATAAAGAAAGGTGATAAATTTTTGAAGATTATAAGCAAATATACATAAAAATATAAATTTGGAATATAAGAAAGATAAATTTTATTTGTACTATACAATATTATAACCTACTGTAATGTTGGCGATTGCAAGGCAGGCATTTTACTACGTAAATTGTTTTTGTTCCAAAAATAATAACAAAAACAAATAAAACTAAGACGGAAAAAATATCAGAAATAAAAACAAAAATAATAAATAACAATAAAATTTCGTGTGAAACACCGCTGGAAGCGGGGGTTGCTGCAAAAATTTTGTATAAATACAAATAAATAACAGAAAATATGCACAAGGGTGCAATGACTGGGGCCATGATTCAAGTATTACACAAAGAAAAAGCACAAAGGCACAGAGATTTGTCTGCGAGGGTATAGTACACGCCAACGGGTTTGGGGGTGGTTGGTTGGTTGATTCGTGTTGCTACAGCAGTTCAAATCAAATAACATGCAACCAAACCGAATCATAGATGAAAAAAAGAAAATGTTTTTTTTTGTTTTTTTTTGATTTTTTGTTTGTTTGTTACAACTACGCACGCAGAACATAAAAGAAAATTTACATTAATTGACAGAAAATAAGCAAGCAGAAAGCGAATAAAGAAAAGTGAAATTCTGTCTGGAATATAACCAGCTGTAAAATGATATAAATTAATAAGTTGACCTTCCAAATTTCTTTTTTGTACATTATAAAAAAAAAGTAATAAAATAACGAAGTAATACAACAGAAAAGTTTATTCAACATCAGAGATAAGAAACAAAAAGTAAGAAAGTTATAAAGACAAGTGCAAGAAGCCAAAATGTCAAAACTCGATTAAAATTTTATAAAAAACAAAAAAAAATATTTAAAAATATTAGCTAAAAAAAAAAAATAAATTTAAAAGCGACAACAAAAAGTTAAAAAAAAAATACATTTTTTTTAATATTTAATAATCCAAACTAAGTTTTGTTTTATATTACGTACCTTATCTAAAAGTTGCAGAAAGTAATTTAGCTCCAGCCAGCAGCTTCAGCAAAAATTCACTCAAGTTGAGACGAAGAAGACGTAATAGCTGACGATTTACGAAGAAGACAACAAAAGCGACGAACAGTTAAAACCGCATAAAAAACAATATGAAAAACCGACAATATATAATCGAACGTACGTACGAAAGACAAGACGTCAAGCTTTCTTTAGCTATTTTACTTAAGTTTATTTCTTTTAAATATTTTTTTTATTTACTTATTTGTTAAATTTTTTTTAAATTCTGTTTTTAATAAACTTAGGAAAGTTAAAAATTTACCGAAACGTCTTGTTAAACACTTCAACGACGACGACGACGACGACGACAATGAATCAACCAGGCAAAATTTGTAGCAGATGTTTACTTGTTTCTCCTTTACTTGCTTTTATTTTTTATATTTTTTGCTTTTTCTTAATACAACAATATTTTAACTTTATAATTTTTTAAATAAGATTGCACAGATTTTATTTTTTAAGACGTGACTTATTAATTATTATTTTATATATATATTTTAATTATCTTACATATATAGTATCGAATGTACGGTAAATTCGAACTTAACAGACTTTTCGAACAAAAAAAAATTCCAGCACACGTCCACAATCGTAGCAAGTTAGAGGCAGACTGAAATATACGACTGCTTGTATCGGAGCAGAAGAGAAATATGAAATTTTTTTTTGCGCTACCGACAATAGAATTTAATGCGCTCTCATCGCTCTTTACACAGAATCTACACAATTTCACGCCCAACCAACCAACTAACCAACCACCTTATATGATTAATAATTTTGACCTTAGGCATTGAAAAATATATGCCGGTAGATTAAATGTAAAACTCTTTGTGACAAAGATTTTATTAATAAACTAAAGAAAATTTTTAAAATGCTATAATAATTACAATTAATGTACAATTATTATTAGTTATAATAATTACAGTAGAAAAAAATTTTTTTATCAAGCAGGCACAGACTGTATAAAAAAGAATTGTGTACGTTTGCAATACACCGGAATCAGCCGGTCGATAAAAAATTGTGAGCACAAGTTTAGAAAACAGTAACGAAAGAAACTCACAAAAATACTCTTTTTATTACTATTTTGACTCTTCACACATACTCTTTAGAGTAATGTTTTATAAATATTTTTTATTTTTATTTTTATTCATACTAAATTAAAAATTATAACATTTTGTCATTTACTTCATACTATTAATAACACAATATATTTATAGCTTAAATAGCTGTTAATCTCGATGGAAAAATGTTTATTAATAAAATTGCAATTTCTAACGGCATAGAAGAGCACATAAACCGGAAGCACTTGTGAATTATTGTCTGCGCACACTTGTATTTGGCTGCACTTGGCTTAATAAAAGTAGTATAAGCCAAAAAAAAGCATAAAACATAAATGTAGATAAAAATATTGTGAGCATAACAAAAAGAGTACCGCCGCACGTAAGAAGAGTAAAATATTCTACATATTGTGTGCTTGCGTGTATTATACGGCAAAGAATTACACACAAATATACAAAATGAGTAATTTTTTGCCACGAATTCATTTTTGAACAGCACGCATTCGGCGGCTGTTGATGAGAGTACCAAACAAGTGACAAATAAAAACAAAATATAAAAAAAAAAGAATTGAGAATAATTGTGTGGTTGAGTCAGCCCTACACCACCCAAACAGAGCATACCGTGGAGCAAAGCAAAATATTTTATCTTTAACTATTATTTTGACAGAAACCCATATAGGATATGTTATGTTCAGGCAGTGTGTGAGTTCGAGTAAATTAATGTTAAATTGATGGTAAAATAGTAAATTATATCGGTATGGCAGCGAATGTTGGTATTTACCAAGTATTCGAGTACGGTAAATTAGATGAAAATTAGGTAAATTAGGTATTAGCATTGTGAAAATTTTATAAGATGTTTAATAAATAAATAAATAAATTTGAAAACTTTTAAACAAAAATAAAAAAATAAGTGCAATAATTAAATAAATATATATTTATATAATTGCGTTGCAAAATATCTCTAGGAAATTTCAATTTAATTTAAAATTTTTGACTGCTCAAATTACAAACAACTCGTGTGAATCTAGTTTAGATAATAAATTGTTCTAAGGAAATATACAATGTTGTACAGTATGGAAGAGATGGACTGTTGTAATGAATACGTAGTAAGAATCAGTTCATGATTAAACTGTAGGAATAATTATAGAGCAGGATTATAGTTGTGATAAAGACAATGACATGTATGTTAATGTAAGGACCATCAATTGAAAAGGCTTGTATATCATATTCTCAAGTAGATTAGACATTGCTATCAATATTTAAAGATAATTCGTTGAAATAATATATTTTATGCACAAACATATAAAATTTCATTTAAATCGCTTCAGATTTCCATATATTTTTTGTACAAAGTGATAGCTTCAGTTGAGTAACACTAATAATTAATAAAATCAACATATTGGGAGGAAGCCCATCAATGTTTTTTTTTATTAATTTAAAATTATCTAAGGTAAGGACCATGAAACCTTTATACCAAACAGGAGCATTTTAAAGGCTATCACAATTTCGTTACGAAAGAATTCAATTTGGACTGAAGGTGATTTCAGAAGATAAGAACATGGAACCGTTCTGCATTTTAATAGAATATTTAATATTTGAATATAATAGTAAATACTAGGTGAGAAGTATCAATGATGTGCACTTGTTTGTAGGAGTATATAACAGAAGTATGTCTCTCTTAATTAGATAAAATCTAGAGATCTCATTGAAATTCCTCGCAAAAGTACAACTCTTACAATAGGACTGTTATTGTATGAACGCTGATAGGAAACCTAGCTAAGAGATAGATGATTCTTTTTAATGACTTTTGATTTAGCCATGGCAGGATCAATACTGGGTCAATGCCAATTAGGAAACCATGATGTTAGGAGGATAGTGAAAGTGTTCAAATCATCCGTCGGTATACAGCGCATGTATATTACAGATTAAATATATTGGGCATTTAAAAAAACATTATTAATGATTTCTATGTCTTGAAATAGACTTTTAAATAATAACACGTTAGACTAAACTGTTCTATAAAAGAATAGTTATAAGTAAAATATGTTTTAATATTCAATTTCGCTAAATTACTAAAATTGTTTAGTATTCTATATTTTGAGAGCCCGTCAGAAATTACTTTTATTTTAAAATATTATTGTATAATGTAAAACGTATGTATATTAACATCAAGAAATTCCTAGAAATTTATTGTTAAAAAAATGTGCTACCTGTCTAAAGTCTCTACAGATATAATGTTAAGAAGTAAAATATCAAGGCTATAGTAATATAGAGAATTATATTGATTTCACGGATTTTGATATTGTATACTTTTACGCTCTTTGTTATCAGGTAGTTTTGTTAATATTTAGTTTTTATATTTAAGGATAGATTTTTTAATTTAATCTATCGTTACAAGATTGTACATATATAAATGAAATTGAATTGAATAATATTTGAACGTACATCGTTATTTTAGATATTTAAATATTTGGGATTTTTTATTTTCCTTCCTCGTCATTTTTTTGATAATATATAAGGAGTGTATTTAATAGAATGAGCAGAAACCAAATTATCAGCTAACAGCTCTCAAAAAGCACAATAAAACTGAAGTGAATGGTATAGAGACTTTTTCAAAAATATTTGTGAAAATTTTATATCATCCATTGTTTGATAAGAACTCAACTGTTACATCTAAATTCAGATTAATACTTACCATTAAATAAAACATTAAAAAAAGTTAAATAGCTTTTTAATATCAAAGCATACAATAACAAAATCATTACACAATATCTAAAAAATTAACACTCTAGCAATCCATTATCATAATCGGAGATATTTGAGTCATATTGGTAGTCCCCTGATCATTCTAGCGTAGGCTTTTTAAATCTATCTCATGCACCTCTTCAAATAATAAAGCCACGAAAAACCTGACTTATAAGAAATTACAACAACAATTTACAACAATAGAGATGTAGCACTGGGTGCTTCCTCTCTTCATACATTTTGTAACAAAAACGGGATAAAGATTTCCTGACTGGTGCTAATAAATAAATAGAAACGAAAATTATGTTAAGTGATATTTTAATATTGAAGATTGATTTTTCCCCTTTCATGAATTCAGAGATGTTTTTCTAGATTCAATCAAAAAAATGGAATACTTCATCTGATATTAGTTAATCATCAAGGAATGAAAACATTTTCGATTTTACGTAGTAAGCAGGTAAGTAGATAGGTGAACTACAGGAAGCATCAAATTTTTTTCAATTAGCTAAGAAAGCCGGTTCCATATTTCTCGTAATTACCAGTTAGCGAATTGGTCTATACCAGTGTTACAAATATCGCAAAGTATTTCAAAGAATGGGGCTTGGTTTGGGATAAGCTTGGATATAGACACAAAATGTAACAGGTGTTCCGGTGTTTCCTCTTCAAGCTCCGGAAGATATATACTGCAGGAGATTTTACAGGACAGACCTTGTCTGGCTCCATGTCATCCTATAGTACAGTGTTGTGGTAGGAGCGATATTATCTTTGGTATTTTCTATTTATTTTTATGATAAAAGGTTCTAGATTTGGAGTATAAAGTTCATGTTGTTCTCAACCTGCCTGCTGAAGCAATATTCATAATTTTTAATAACAGAGTTTTTGGTCCAGAGTTTTTGGTCCACTTCCCCGCCAAACTCTGTTTGCTAAGATTATTAAAGCAATTAAGTTTAAAGAATACTATCAGCGATTTTAATTGTGGTAGCTCGGGTGAAATATTCCAGTATAGTGGAATTTAAATGAAATAACCCTGCTTTTAATTTCTTTCTTAATATGAAGGAAAAAAGATACTTCCATCAACTTCAATGAATATTTAAATGGGATAATTTTTTTATTTTTATTCAAAAATTATTGTCAATAACTGCTCTTAGGGTGCCCTTTACCAATTTCTCTCAAGATATATTTAGTAAC